AAGTGCACAAATGCTGCAAAAGGAAAGGGGGCCCAGTGTGTAAGGTATTAGTTTGGAGTGCTGGAGTCCAGGTGGGATCCCCATGTCTGCCACAAGTTTCCTGTGTAATCTTGGGCAAGTCAGTTAGCCTTTAGGTGACTAAGTTTTCCATGTGTAAAATGGAGTGAATAGCACATCCCTACCTCACAGAACATAAGAACATAAGAACGGCCACGCTGGGTCAGACCAAAGGTCCATCTAGCCCAGTCCCCTATCTGCCAACAGTGACCAATGCCAGGTGCCCCAGAGGGCGTGAACCGAATGGGTAATGATCAAACAATCTCTCTCCTGCCATCCATCTCCACCCTCTGACAAACAGAAACTAAGAACACCATTCCTTACCCATCCTGGCTACAAGTCATTAATGGACTTAACCTCCGTGAATTTATCTAGTTCTCTTTTAAACCCTGTTATAGTTCTAGTCTTCACAACCTCCTCAGGCAAGGAGTTCCACAGATTGGCTATGTGAAGAAGAACTTCCTTTTATTTGTTTTAAACCTGCTGCTCATTAGTTTCATTTGGTGGCCCTTAGTTCTTATATTATGGAAAAAATAAATAACTTTTCCTTATTCACTTTCTCCACACCACTCATGATTTTATAGACCTCTATCCTATCCCCCCTTAGTCTCCTCTTTTCCAAGCTGAAAAGTCCCAGTCTCTTTAATCTCTCCTCAGATGGTACCCGTTCCAAACCCCTAATCATTTTTGTCGCCCTTCTCTGAACCTTTTCTAATGCCAGTGTATCTTTTTTGAGATCAGGAGACCACATCTGTACACAGTATTCAAGATGTGGGTGTACCATGGATTTATATAAGGGCAATAAGATATTCTCCGTCATATTCTCTATCCCTTTTTTAATGATTCCTATCGTCCAGTTTGCTTTTTTGACTACTGCTGCACACTGCATGGACGTCTTCAGAGAACTATCCACGATGACTCCAAGATCTCTTTCCTGATTAGTTGTAGCTGAATTGGCCCCCATCATTTGTATGTATAGTTGGGGTTATTTTTTTCAGTGTGCATTACTTTACATTTATCCAGGATGAATGTGTTAAGAGACTTAGGCCAGGTCTACACTGCGCCAGAAATCCAACTTAAGATATGCAACACCAGCCACGAGAATTGCATAGCTGGAGTCAACGTACCTTAAACTGAATTTCCTGGGTAGCCCTCCTATGGGAGGTTGGGAGAAATTTTCCTGCCAAATTCCTACACTCCTTGTGATGCCGTGGATTACCAGGCTCAATGGGGGCCTCATCAGCATTTGATTTAGCAGGTCCTTATTAGACCCGCTAAATCAAACCCTGGAAGATCGATCGTTGGAGCATCTATCTCTGCATAAAAATAAACAAGGCATTAGAGATGCCTGAACACTGTGATGAAGGCCCTATAAGTACCTACAATAAATAGATCATGTTTGAGTGCACTATGATGATTTGCTGCAACGTGAATGCATTTGCACCCCAGCTACGTTTGTTAAATATTCATTGTATTTATCTAGCACTTAACATTTTAAAACCAGTGTGCAGATATTCAATTCGTATAGCACCCCAGTGAGGCTCGTTACTCCCTTCCTGTTGAGAGATCTCGTGATCAGAATTAAAATTCAGGACTGCCTGTTTTCCAAACCCATGCAGGCCTCACTGCCCCTCCGCAGTTACAGTCTGGCTGGAGAAGTTGTCATGTCTCCCATGCTGCATAGTCAACATTGACTGACTCTGGAAAGTTGTCACCTGCTCCTAACTCTGTGTTCCCTTGCCAGTATACAGCATGTGAGGCCATCAATCTACCTCAGCTTCCCAAAAGCCCACCACAGAGCAAGCCACTGCATGTAGGCACACTTGCATTTGCATGAAGCCCTGGCATCTTTTTGAAATCTAGTATAACTTCCCCATAATTGGACTATCTTGGTGTGTAGCACCATGTTCATAATAATACCTACCTCTTGCATGGCACTTTTCATCAGTAGATCTTAAAGTGGTTTACAGAGAAGCTCACTACCAGTAGGCCCAGTGTTTTTTTTGTATTTTTTTTAAAAGTGCCAATGCTCCAAGGAAAAAGTTGAGGAAAAAAAAAACCCACAGTGGAGGGCCCAGCATTGCCCTTTTAAGAGCTGCGTCTCCTTTAAGATGGCCATTTTCATTACAGAGATGCCAGTACTGTCACACACACACACAAAAAGCACTGAGTAGGCCCATTTTACAGATGGGGAAACTGAGAGGTGAAATGACTTCCCCAAGCTCCCCACGAGGCTGAATTGCCCTCTAATGTTCTGTCTGTCCACCCAGCCACACCATCTCAACATTAAAGCCATTTACCACTGGAAATCATACTGCAAAAGCAGACTTGCCAAGAAAAATATCCCAACGTTACCACCAGCCCTCCCATTATAATGCGTTGCTCCTCCTGTGTCGAAATGAAACAAACTTTTTTTGGGTTAGGGGCTTCTGACCCACAGAAAAATAAGTCAGGGGCCGCACACAAATGAAAAGCAAAAAAACCCAACAAAAACCTCAAAAATCCTCTCTAACATGACTCCTCATTCCCATCACACACCAGAGCGGTGGGGGGCCCAAGCTAGTAGATTGTGTTTCAGCCCCATGGGGGGAATGGCAAGGGGGCAGGCCTTGAGCTCCCAAATGCAGGGGGGGGAACCTCACGCCTCAGGAGCCAGATCCAGACAAGCCAGTGGCCACATCTGGCCTCTGGGCCTTAGGTTCCCCACACCTGGTTTAATGCTTGCAAGAAAATGCCGGCCGTTTGCGCATGCATGCAGGCCCACCACCCCCGCCCTATGCCGAGAGGCTAGATTGAAAATATTTGCTGCTTTGGAAAAAAGCAAGAAATGTGGTGGTGGGGGAGGAGTTTTGCTGGGGACTGGAATTATTTCCACTTGGTGCTTCCCATCCTCTCTTACAGCTGCAGCATCAGGGTCTGCAGTGCAGGATGGCAGCTCCAGCCTCAGTGAGTGCTTGTGTCAGGAGTGAATTATGTTGCCCTTTCCTTCCTGCTAATGGAGAAGTTCGCCGTGCATATTGTGAGAGCGCTCTCACCGCCGAGAGACACAGACACGCTGTCCCTAGCAATCGGTGGACTGGCCGAAGGAATCTGACCGGCTCCCTGTTTTGTATTTCAGCTGGCATCCAACCACACGGTGATAGAAGAGCTGCGCTCAGTCACGGCCGTTCAGATGGAGTCTGCCCCGTTCCGTATTAGCCAACGTGTCAGCTATGACTTTTTGGTGGTGTGCGCTGCCATGGCGTTCTCTCCACTCATCTACTTCATGTCCCTCAATGTGGCAAAAGATAGGAAGAAGTTAAAGGAGCTCATGAGGATGATGGGGCTCCAGGATGTAGCGTTCTGGTGTGTGAGATGCCTGCTTACATATCTAGGGCAGATAAATCAACTGGGGGATTAATATCTCTAATTAATGCAGCCATGTGTTTAAAGTAAATTGTTAGAAGAGGGGAAATTCTCCTGGGTGAGCAAGATGAGTCCTCTCCATTTGCAAAACCCAAGAATGTAAATTAAGCCCGCGTTTACCAGGTTGCCAAAGGAAGGTTGCTAAATATAAGCAGTGCCTCCGTATCACCAGTTAGAGGCACCATGCGTGAGAGTCAGTTGAAGGAATTCAATCAAACTGAGAATCTGTCATGTGTCATGGCCTAGATGACTCGTTGCTTGTTTTTTGTCTGTTTTATGAGAGAGAAGTAGTTCCTGATCTGTCTACTATCCAGGCATAGCAGGTCATCCACAGCTCATAATGCAGAACTGGATCTTAATAGAAAGACTTTCAGAGGAACTCCAATAGAACCGGTCTAAAAAAAAAATTCATGGACTCTCTCTGTCACCACCAGCCCACTATTTTCCCAGTTGTTTCCTACTAGCACACTTTTGGGATTCAAACCATTTCAACCTGCTCTAACTTGGTCATTGAAGCCAATGTGGGTCCGTTGTAGCCAATATAGCTCAGGCTGATTTCTTTTTTGCTACGGAATGGTCCATGTCATACTGCTCTATGATGAGGTGTATGAATCTTTCAGT